TTGTTTTTTTTTTTTTTTTTCCCTAATCCATTTCCAACTGAGTCTGTGAACCATCTCTTCTGACTGGATACTGCCCTGAAATCTATTACTGCTTAAACAGACTCAGAAACACCCTGAACCTCTAGGCAAATTCAGGGATGTTACTCTTTGATATATCCTTGATGGCTTCAACAAACAAGGTTGTAATTCCTTTAAACTATGTTTTCTATAAATGTTTTCTGGTTTGTTGAAATGGGGGGGGTCCTTTATGGTTTTCCAAAGAAGGAAACTCCCACCCCAGTTTTTATACCAAGAAGTGTTGTTAGAGGGGAAAAACTGATGTTTCTGTTTTTCAAGATGAGGAAGCTTTTTCAGAATGCGTGGGGGACTTGTTTTCACACCCCCTGGGATTCAGCAGTAGGGTTGAGTAGAAACCTGGAACTTCATTTCCTGAGGTCAAATCAATGTGTCAACCACCTCCCACCCAAGCACCTTGTGGTATATCTGCAGGTACATGACACACAGTATGATTTTTCCCAAGATCCTCCCTGTGAGGAGACAGGGTTAGACCACTCCATGATGGGCATCCACCACTAAGTTTCCCATGCCCGGCTAGTTTTCCAAACCTTTTTAAGTCTTTGATTTTTACTGGAAAAGTTAAGGAGTCCCTTAGCATCTTCATATCCTCTTACTCTGAATACAGCATTGTAAAGAACACGTCCTGCTTGCTCTAGTAATCAGCATGCCAAGTGTGGTGGCACATACCTGTAATCTCTGCATTCAGGAGGCAGAGACAGTGGGGAGTGCCATCCTAGGCTACAAAGCAAGACCTTGTTTCAAAAAACAAAAAGCACACAATTGTTTTGACAAATTAATCTTTCCCTTGGGTACTTAGATTTTAATTACAAGGGTAGCTCTTATAAAAATATATAAGGGAAGCTAGGGGGATGGTTTAGTTGGTAAAATGTCTACTGTGCAAGCATGACAGATTGGGATTCCCAGTACCCATGTAAAAGCCAAGAGTGAACCCCAGTGTTGGGGGAGGTGGAGACAAGCAGATCCCAAAGTTCATTGACTGGCCAGCCTAGCTGAATCACACCCAAAGCCCAGGGACTGCAGAGATGGCTCAGCAGTTAAGAGCATCAGCTGCTCTTACAGAGGACCCAGGTTTGGTTCCCAGCAACCATATGCAGCCAACAATCTTCTGTAACTCCAGTTCCAGGGAATCCATCACCATCTTCTGACCTCTGCAGGTTTTCACACATGGGTACACTTACATGCAGGCAAAACACTCATGCATAAAATAAAAATAAATAAATCAAAAAATTTAAGGAAATAAAAGTGGAAAGAGATTCGGGAAAATACCCAACATCTACCCTCTGTCCTCCAAATGCACATGTGTGTGCATGCGCATCTCAGGCACATGTACAGAAAGAGAGGGTGGGGGGAGAGAGAGACAGAGACAGAGATAGAGAGAGATAGAGAGGGAACTGAGCAGCAGTTTCTTTTTAGAAGGTTTGCTTTCTGAAACCCAGCTTCTACTGGTACCCAAGCAGGTCTTTTTCTCCCTAAGACTAAAAAGTACATTTACATCATCCATCCTCTCTTACAAGCTGCAAGATTCAGTGAGTTTCTGTCTAGTGTAAGTTCACTCTGTTCAACTTCATTTCCAGAATGTAAAGAGTTTATCCCATAAGGCAAGGGATGATGATACCCCTGACTTTGTCTGCTGGGCCTTTTTCAAAGTGTCCTTGAATTCAGCAAGCAAAGTTTCCTGAGAAATCTCTCTAAACTTACACTCTCTCCACTTGGCAAAAAAATGGATGACTGCTTCAAAACTCCAAACTTCTGGAAGCTCCATATGCTATAACATTACTGAACATGACTTTCTCTGTCTTTGAGTATAGACATGTTTGTTTAATTAATAATGCACTAGACTGTTAAACAGATGGCTCCAAGCCCTGCTCCACACTTGGGAGCTTTGGGCACCATCTTTATCCTACCAAATGCAATCGCTCTGGCTAAAGAGGATGTATATTGTAGTCAATGTCTAAGCTTAGAAGCTTTAATGTACTTTTTAAAAGAAAAATATTGGAGTGGGTTGAACATTGTAACTAAGTGTATAAGGTTAGGCCAATTACACGCAAAGATGATTGTTTGATATTGTGTGATCTGAGTCCTGTATAACTTATTTGCACACTTTCCTTGCATGATGAACTAATTTTTCATAGCTGTTTGTACCAGACAGTGGCATATTTTTGTAAAAGAATTTTGACACTGAATTGCAATAAATGTTTTTCCAACAACACACCATGGTGTATTTTTGGTGTGTGTCAATTCAAGTTGGCTTTTTATCAGGCTGAATGTTTATCTTTTGTCTTTGAGATTTATATTCCTTCGGTCCTAGAAATTCACTACCATGATTGTAAAAATTCCTAAGAATACACAGTAAAACAAGTTTGTACCTGAATACCAATCAGAGTCCAAAATTCAGCATTTAGGCCTAAGTAGGATATTTCCATGTATTGTTTGTATTACAGAATGATTGGAGAAAAATGAATTTTGAAGTCACTGTCATTCATTCACCAACAAGCATTTGCAGAATAGTTACTGTGCAAAGCACAGAGAGAATAAGACAGAAATGGTCTCTACCTTAATGGCATTCAGAGTCTAACCAAAAAGACCAAAAAACAGCAAGTGAATAAAAATAGCTTGTAATGAGTGTGATGAATGGAATAATCAAGAACTGTTCGAGGCAGGCTAAGCAGGGGGCCTATCTGAGGAAGTGATGTTGAAGCTGTCATGAAGAAAAAGAATACTCCAGAAAAATGAAATGGCTTACATGAGGTTTGAATCATGGGCCTGACACTTACCCGAAGTGTAAACTTTCACACTGTACTTAACTCCCTCTATCACAGTCTCCTGGACTCTAAAATAGTGATCAAGTACCTGTTCATGTAAGAAACCACAGCTCTCACCTCAGAGGGGATAGGAGATAGTTTACTCTGGATCAAATATGGTAACCCGGGAACACAGATTTAGTTTACTCTAAATCACAAGTTCCAATACGACAGCAGTTTCCTGAGGTTTCTATAGTAACAGAACAAAGAAAGTCATAAAAATCAGCACGTTTTCAAATACATTGAACTCAGGTAGACAGGTCACAGCAAAGTGGGGACATCTCTGCTATAGGCTTCAGTTGCTGTCTGATAGCATTCTTCACTTTTGGGTTGGTAGAAGCTAGGGGTCTGTTCATACATTCCAAAGGATTTACTAACACAGGATGCTAGGTCACATACAGAGGCAGGCAGCAAATGATTATTAAGGGAGCTAAAGATAGTCCAATATAATTTGACCCCGAACTTGCAACATTGCAACCTTTCCACATCCCTGAAGTTCTAATCAATCTGCCTTTGAAATTTCAGCATCTTCCCAAGAACTTTCATTCATAGTATCTATGAGAAATCTATTCCTTACTTTCCTCATTATTGTGACCAAATACCTGGCCAGGAGCAATTTAAGGTAGGAAGGGAAGGTGTTTGGGTTTGAGCTTGAGGCAGTTGAGAAACAGAAATCAGACCAAAAGTAGAGGCAGGCTGTGACACCTTAAGACTGGCCCTAGTGACCCACTTCCTCCAGCAAGGGTCCACCTCCTAAAGGTTTCACAACCTTCCAAAACAGCCTCACTAACTGAGGACCAAGTATTCACACACATGAGTCTATGGGGGACATTTCACATTCAAACAACACAAGGTTAAATGAACTAATAATATATGTAAGGTGACCCAGGCCACAATAGAAACTGAAGAAATGTTAGCGAGCATTATTATATCCTGAGTAACAAGAGTTTAGGAATGGAGTTAGTAGTTGCACGTGCTCTATTGGCTGTGGCTTACTCAGGTTCCTTACCTGTGGATCTCTTGATACTTTCAACTCTGAAACACAACCTAGTCCTGCCACTAATTCTCCTTAAGAAAAGGACATCAAAGGCATGATTAGAACAGAAACTAGGGGCACTGGGGAGATGCCCAGCAGTTAAATCGCTTGCCATGACAGCAAGAAGACTGGACTTCAGATCCCAAGAACCCACATAAATGCTGAGTGGGCATGGAGGCTCACCAGTGACTCTGGGTTTGATTGAGAGATCCTGCCTTAATGAATAAAATGGGAAGCTGATGGAGAAAGATTCCCAGTATTAACCTTGGGCCTGCAAGTACACCCACACACATGCATGAACACACACACACACACACACACACACACACACACACATGCACTCACAAAAAGATACATGGAAAAAGAAGCAATAAGAGATTATTTTAAACTCTACTCTTCCATAATCTCACCCATCAATAAGTAGTCTGTACATACTTTGCTGGGACTGTCTGTCTATCTGGAATGTTCTTCCCCTAACAGTTGCTGCTTCTGAGGGCCTCTTCCTCACAGAAGCTTCCCCATACTGAGCAAATCTCATCTCACAACTCTTTTTTGTTTCTGGGCTTTGTTACTGCAATATTATTCACGGTGACAGCATAGTGACTA